CAGAGCCATTAAGGCACGCGCGCCCAGCGCCTCTCGGCCTCACTAGCGCAGCGCACCCCCGCGGCCGGGCTCTCGGGGCAAGCGTTGCACTGCGCCGTGGCTGCGACGAAATGTTGGAACGGATCGGCCAAATACATTGGCACACGTGATGCATGTTTGTATTTGGCATTTAAAAAACACGGATATTTTGCAATTTTCCAAAATGAAGGTATTAAAAAACAAAAAAACTGAGACATGGGCCATGCTATCTGAGGACATAGTTGAATAAAAACATTTGGAGCCGTTGTCTAAAACTATTCAAAGTGTTCTTCTAAACCACCCGAGGCCATTAGAACCAGTTATCGCCCGTGGTACACACGTGATTTTATTGAATCGTATTTACTTATTTACTAATTAATACGTTGTTAACTTAACTAGATTTTATTCTTTTCACATTTCCCTCCCATAATTCCCTCTCTTAATTTCCTCCTCCAGAGAACATGTAGCATCATTCAACTCTTTTATATTTTCTTCGTCACCACGATGCTCTCAATACAGTTAAGTTATACTGTGTATATCGAGCTCCATATCAAAGGCAATAACAACTATAACTAAATCGATTTTTTGAAAGCATGGACAATCCCCATTGCTCTGGCGCCGGGCTGTGGGCATCTGCCCACGTGCGGGGCAGGGTGGGGCAGGGCGGAGCGCAGAGGTCGCTGAGGGGACGCGGATTTGCCTGCTGTCAGTTGGCGCAGGCTCAGCCTCTAAGCTCTGAACGGCGCTGCTGACCGCGATGCCCCTGGGGCGCCGCAACCCGCTGCGCCGACTCTCCCTTCCTATCCCAACCCCGTCCAACTCCTCATCCCACCCGCCTTGCCAGCGCAACGCTCAGTCTGCGCCCACCAGCGTTCAATGCACGGCCGACTGCAGTCCTACCCACATGTCGGTCAGATTCTCGACAACATTTATTTGCGGCATTTACTTTAAATCTTGTGTTACTGACATGAACTACACAATAGTTCCAAGAATTATTATACTTTAGAAACCTAGAAATACTTGTCTTCGAAATGATATTCAATGAAGATACTGAGTAACCTTTCTATTTTCTAGAGAACGATCCCTGAAGGACATTTTTTTTAATACTCCCGCAAGCCGAAACACCGTTATGAAATACGATTACATTTATCATTTTCACATCCCTCTATTGGCATCGACATGTGAGCAATTTTGAACAAGATATAAGAAGTTTACAAATATGCTAGAAATAAATGAACTACGTATAAATATGTTCTTTAATTTTTTTTCTCTCACGCAAACATTTTTAGCAGGCGATTCTTTCGTGATTCTTCACTGACGTCTCGTCGATGCCAGCTTTCGGCAAATAACAGACACCGCGACTTATACAGTTACATCTCCTTCTGACTGCTTCTCAAAATGGATTTCTAAGATGACGTAGCACGTCGCTATCCTTCGCGAGGAAAGAATTCAATACGGAACTAAATTTAAACATCGCGGTTCGGCCTCCGTGGAGGACGGCGCTCCACCTCCCCCTCACAAGACGAAACACAGGTCGCTTCGGTTGGAGACGTCTGTCACCCAATCCATTCCCCACCCCTTCGGAAGCACGTTATTGATAGTTTGTAAACCTGGCGAGCGGTGGAGGGGAGGGATGGAGGCGGCGGCGGGGGGCGTGGGATTACGCGTGTAGGCGAAGCCCCTCGTCCTCACCCACCCCCGCCCCTCAGCTCCCCTCCCTCGGCCACATCCTCGCTTTCTAGGCCTCTGGGTTAAGAGTTCTCTGCGGCACTCAACAAAAACAAACAAATAAATGCAATAAATGAGCGATAAACGAATGTAATAAATGAGTATGTAAATAAATAAGAAATAACGGCATATTCTCGAAGAATCGTGACTTCAATTGTAGCCTTATCAGCGATTCAGACCATTCGTACTTTCAATTCCATATTAATAATTTCATATCCCTTGTATTTCAAGCTAACATAGCCACGTTGAGGACGTCTGGAATATCCATATTTCCACTTCAGATACTCACGCCTGTCTACTGTGGGTGATTATTGTATGAGCGTGATGGGAATTGCCTCAATATGAAATAAAACAATTATGGTCCAAATACCTTTCATGAATGGGAGTGGAGCCGCCCCATTTGGCATCATTTCATCAATAATACGTCATCATTTTTCTACATGAAGTTCACAATTTACATTTATTTATAGAACTATTGTAATACGCGAGTTTTTATCAAAACTTCTACCTGTTTTTTAATTTTACAAATGTTTTTAAAAAACCTGGGTCAGTTTTTGAAAAAGACACTAATTACTATCAAAACGTCATGTTCATAAATTATTTGAAAAAATAATATTGTAGTGACTTTTAAAATTTAAGGTCAGAATAATTTGACAAATTAACGTCATAATTGATTTTTAAATAATTCATAAAATGTACTGATTTAACTTTATTTCTAAAAGCAAATTATTGTTTGTTTTTCCCTTACAATGTTTTTCAACAGTTTTCCTTCTCAATGCCCCTTAGTCGTCCGAGAGCCCCTGGTCTGTAGCTCCTAAAGTCCACGCCATAATCCTCTCCCGTCCTCTCCCCTCGCCCCTCCTCTACCTCCCCCGCCCCCTTGCCACCG